ACATATATATAAATATATTTAACATATATATATATATATATATATATATATATATATATATATATATATATATATGGTACTACCTTCATGATTATACAAATAATTTTGTTTTACATTATACAAAATGCTGATGGAAAACCATGATGTTTGTTTTATTATTGTCATTTTAATCCTCAGCATCATTCCAATGGATGTGCATGATTTTACAGCATATGTATATGTGAAATATCAGACTAAACAACTCCTTTTCAGCACATGCTTTTTAACTGTTAATTTCCCTGTTTTTAAAATGTATAGTAGTTACATAAGTTATAGCAACTTCGTTTTCATTTGTTTTAATTGGCAGTTTCTTGTCAGTGTTCAGGGTAATGCCTTGTGCTATAGCATACAGGTACATGCACATAACAACGATAATGATGGTGATTATTTTTGTCTACTAGGGCGCATCCTCGTGGTGGATCGGTTCAGACCAGCCCCACCGGGACCCCCGTGAACAGCAGGAGAGGACGACAGCTCCCACAACTGCCTCCAAAAGGGACGCTGGAAAGAAGTACGTCTGCATTTCTGTGCAGCTTCTTTTTGTCTCCATGTTGGCTCTTGCTCATGCGGAGATGTTTATTTGAGAGATGGGACTGCAGAATGACTGACTCGGCAAAAGTTGTGGTTTGCTATAGATACAGTCAGCAATGCATCAAATCCCAGTTACAGTAGTTACCTGCTCATTTTAATTGGGGACATGAAGAATTTGACTGTTTTTAGAAAGAAAAACTTGCCTAAAAAGCATTAAAGGGGTCCTATTATGCTCTTTTACAAAGTGTTGATTTTGTTTTGGGGGTGTCTAGATCAGCCTCTCATACTAGGTTGTTCGAAAAACACTTTATTTTTCACATATTTTACATTATTACAACACCTCTCTCCCCAGTCTGGCATGAACGGCTCGAATAGTTCCTGTATCAAATGAGGGCCCGCCTTCTGAAATACGAAATGTGCTGTGATTGGTTAGCTGGGCCAGTGTGTGTTGTGATTGGCAGCACTCAGCGCCTGGTCGGGAAATGTCATGCCCCTTACCATAGCCGCCTGCGAGCTTCAGTCAAATCAATTTGCTTCAAAATCAAATCAATGTGAGCGCAATTTAAACCTGGATGATTGTAACCACTCTAAGTTCGTCTGCCTTGGGAAAGCTAGCGTGTCTCTGACATAGTGATAACACTCGTTGCCTTCTCTAGTGCAGCTCAACCAGGTCTCGTCCCATTCGTCGATATTTGTGATATCACAAATCCCAGAAAATATGCGTTGTAGTCCAAACGAGTCGTTCATTGTAGTTTTTGAAAAGTGATTTCTGTTAAATAAAATATCTCCTTTTGAATTGGACTTTGAGCTTTGTAACTTTGCAGATCTTTTTCATGCTCAAACAGCAACATTACAGACTAACTAAAGCTGAAAAAGTGAAAAAGCATAATAGGACCCCTTTAATGTATTTTCTGTTGAAATAAGAATTTGAGCAGGAAAAATATGCTTTTATAATTAGAAAATGCCAACATCTTTACAACTTTTACAAAAAGGTACAGTTGTTAACATCAGTTAACTACGTTAGCTGACATGAAATAATGAAAAATACTTCCAAAGCATCTTAGTTAATGTTATTTTTTAACATATACTTATACTGTATATCATTAAAATAAAAAGTTTATATCTCTTAATATTATTTAATGGACCTGAGCTAACATGAACTAACAACAGTTGTATCTTTTATGAACTAAGATTAATAAATACTGTAAGAAATTGCCATGGTCAGTTACTGTTAGTTAACTAACAGTAACTAGTGGGACCTAATTGTAAAGTGTTACTTATACAATTATGCTAAAATATTATTTTGTCAACAGTTTTTACAACTAGTTACAAAAATAAATAAAAATCATATAAAAATCAAATAAGAAATTTTGAACTAGAAAACAACAATTTTATTTTTTTGTTTCTTTGAAAAAAAATTACTCCAGTAATCTCTGTGTTCATGTACAACTTATCAAATCAATTTGAGCGCAATTTAAACCTGGATGATTGTAACCACTCTAAGTTCGTCTGCCTTGGGAAAGCTAGCGTGTCTCTGACATAGTGATAACACTCGTTGCCTTCTCTAGTGCAGCTCAACCAGGTCTCGTCCCATTCGTCGATATTTGTGATATCACAAATCCCAGAAAATATGCGTTGTAGTCCAAATGAGTCGTTCATTGTAGTTTTTGAAAAGTGATTTCTGTTAAATAAAATATCTCCTTTTGAATTGGACTTTGAGCTTTGTAACTTTGCAGATCTTTTTCATGCTCAAACAGCAACATTACAGACTAACTAAAGCTGAAAAAGTTAAAAAGCATAATAGGACCCCTTTAATGTATTTTCTGTTGAAATAAGAATTTGAGCAGGAAAAATATACTTTTATAATTAGAAAATGCCAACATCTTTACAACTTTTACAAAAAGGTACAGTTGTTAACATCAGTTAACTACGTTAGTTAACATGAAATAATGAAAAATACTTCCAAAGCATCTTAGTTAATGTTATTTTTTAACATATACTTATACTGTATATCATTAAAATAAAAAGTTTATATCTCTTAATATTATTTAATGGGCCTGAGCTAACATGAACTAACAACAGTTGTATCTTTTATGAACTAAGATTAATAAATGCTTTAAGAAATTGCCATGGTCAGTTACTGTTAGTTAACTAACAGTAACTAGTGGGACCTTATTGTAAAGTGTTACTTATACAATTATGCTAAAATATTATTTTGTCAACAGTTTTTACAACTAGTTACAAAAATAAATAAAAATCATATAAAAATCAAATAAGAAATTTTGAACTAGAAAACAAAATTTTTATTTTTTTGTTTCTTTGAAAAAAAATTACTCCAGTAATCTCTGTGTTCATGTACAACTCCAACAGACATCGACTTAAAGCCCCCAAAAATAATGAATTCAATTTTGATTTCGTTTTTGCATGGAAAATCCAGTTTTGTGAGTTTCTTTCTAAAAATAGCAACGTTTTTGGAATCGTTGTCTACATTTAAATTAATGGGTAACTATGGTAACAGAGTTGGTCTCCCCCCCCCCCTGTGCCCCCCCCCCCCCCCCCCCATGGGAGGGTGGAGCCTCTTTGTGTCAAGTAGAAGACAAGAGCGCATGTCATTTCAGTAAATAAACAAAACTAAAAAAAGTGTCTTTAGTGTGAATTGTTGTCATTTTATAGGTATTGTTATGCATTATCACAACATTGCACTGTTCCATTACCCTATTGGCTGAATATGACACAGTTTGTGCACCAGTCACTTCCTGTTGTTATATTTGAGTGCGGGCGACACACATGATCATGTAAATGACATGCGTGGTTTAGTTGCATGTGCGCGCTGATGTGTCCTTCTTTCATTCCTCTCTCAGAAGACGGAGGTGAAGAACTCGAGCCTTCTCCAGGTGTGTAACACATCTGTGAAGGTTTAATCTGTCAGAAGGAGCTTCTGATTGAATTGAACCTTTCTGCAATGGTCTTGAGCTGGTGTTTCCTCTACAGACGGCTCTAGAATTAGATCATAGAGCTTTTTGGAAGTCAGATTTGCTGAATTCCCTCTTCGTTTTGGACCCATCAAATGCTGCTTCAGAGCTTTCTTTGAGAGGTTATGAAGCCAGGTCCATTGCAAACTCTGTTTATATGTGAACGTAGACAGGTAGTTTTTGGTTTTTCCGTTGTCTTCCTGTAACAGTGATTGTGTAATGTTGTGATAAAAGATTTTCCAAATGTATTTTTGTTTTCCCAGTGACCTTTGTGTTGTTTTAGAAGCAGTCACAGAGATTTCTGGCTTGCAGTCATTGGTTGATTTTACAGATGTTGTTCCATTTTGCTAACATTTTTTTGCATTATTGCTCAAATGATGTTTTTGCTAAATTTGATTCATATGGAGCTCTCAGTTAAGAATAATTTTTCTCTCTGATTCTTTCGGAGAAATACAAAAAGATGCAGCTAAGACCATCTTTGACATGCAGTAAGAGTATAGAGCAATAAAATGAATGTGGATAGTGTAGACACTTTGAGTTTTGAAAAGTTTAGAGGAGACACGTGTTAGAATTTTTGTATTTTTTTTTCATTTCAGAAAAAAAAAAAAAAACTGAGAATCATTAATTTTCTGAAAAAAAAGCTTCTATATATATTTTTTTTAACTCGTAAATTGTCGAGTGACTTACAGTAGAGTAACTGTGTGTTAAATGCTCAGTGTTTCTATCCGAACTCCTAATAGATAGATAGATCGATAGACAGACAGAGTCTGGCAGCTTCATACAAGTCGTGTCTTATGCTCATCAAGGAGGGATTTAATTAATCAAAAATACAGCATTTTTTTTTATTATTACAATTGAATATATCTTTTTTATATATTTTAATATGCAATTGCAAAACAGACATTTCAGGAAACATTTCTTATCAGTATCAATGTCAAAAACAGTGCAGTTTATTATTTTTGTGGAAACTGTGATTCATTTTTTTTTTTTTCCAGGATTCTTTGAATAGAAAGTTCACAAGAACATTTATTTGAAATAGAAATCTTTTGTAGCGTTATAAAAGTCTTTACTCTCACTTATCAATTTAATGCATCCTTCATGAATAGAAGTATACATTTCTTAAAATTAATACAATAAAATTACTTTATGACTTCAACTGAGTTATATATGAACTGACCCCAAAATGTACTGTGTATCATGAGACCTGGGTTCTGGTTTGTGGTTAGTTCATACATAACTTCAGGTTTACATCAGGTTTAGGTTTGTTAATGAAAAATTAGCTGTAGACACACGCACACACACACACACACACACACAAACAGGCACGCTTTCCAACCGATCACACTTCCTCCTATCTGCCACATCCGTCATATTTGTCACAAGATCTGGTCTGTTGGGAGTGTGTGTGTGTCTGCCTCTTTCCCAGCATCCATCTCTGCTTTCTGTCCAACTGGTATTTACTCTACATCAGCTGTTTGAAATACTCTAATCTTTTTTTCATATGGCACTCAAAATGAGTGTACAGGAGGATTTGACTAGTATTTTGTGCATTTGTGGGAATTCTTGCACTGTTTTTACTCCATTGCTGCTGTTGTTGTGTTAAAGCTTGTGAAATGAGGCCAAACGGCCCTGTGGTCAACGGCAGGAAAGGCAAGTCTCTCCTGGCGTGTGTTTGCAGTGTAGCTTTACAATATTTTCCTCTTCATTTTCTTTTCTAAGAGGATGTTTCCTCACATTAAGGACTGGGCAATATATCAAAAAAATCACAATGTATTCATTTTAAAAACATGAAATCAAACTTGACCATATTTTCTTTCTTAATTTGCAATTCAAGTCTTAGTGCATACCAAAAAAAAAAAACAATGTAGGGTTAGAGTCGCTAAGTTTGATTAATTTCTGTTATTCCATTTATAGCTAAGTATAGCTGTTTATTAGTAGGCCTATGTGTTTTTATATGGGCACACATGAATTGCAAATGTTTAATAATTGTTCCTTGTGTTAATTTAGGGAGATTTTTACTTATTGCCCAGTCCTTACATCTTTAAAATGTCTTTTCTTTGCTCAGAAATGTTGATGAAGGATTGATGCGTCTCAGATCTTGCATGAGTTCTTCATGGATGAGTCGGTTTCTAGGTTTTTCTCGGTCTGTTTCTAGGTCAGTCTCTCGCTCTTCACGTCTCGCATCTCTCTCTCTCTCTTGTGTGGGTTGTCGGTGTTTTAATGCATTTTGCTATGAATAATGAGGGAAATTTAGAGAGATTGTGTTGAATTAAATGGATCTGGATTGTGTCTGGATAAATGTTGTGCGCTATAGCTAGTGACTCCAACTCCAAATACAGCCAGATAGATATTCAGCTTATTTAAAAGACTGTTCTGTTTAAAGTCATTTTAAGATGTTTCTATACTCATGCTAGAGAGTGAAATTGAGATGTTATAGAATTTCATATTTTGATATAAGTGTAAATCAGTGATTCTGCAGACTGAATTGATTAGTAGGATGCAGTTACATGGTTTAACCAGCAGATGACGCTCAATCATGTGTAGAAAGGAGCTGTTCACTGCTTTAGTGCTGAATTATCCCCAGAATTACTCCGTCTACCTCTTCAACCTTTTGATTTATTTTACAAAGCCAGCTTAATACACTGTTTTTGCAGAAACTAAATACAGAAGAGTAACGTCCAGAGACTGTATTTCAGAAACAAACACTGATGAATGAAATATGTAGTGGATTCAAAAAGTATTTGAATATCTAAGCCAGTCTGGATGTATTGCATTAGATACAAAATATCAAACTAAATGACATTTAAAAAAGAAAGAAAGAAATGGCACAAGCACACTTTTGAAGTGAAACTAAAGGAAGTTTGTCCACTGTTTGGCCACTGTACCTGCACAAAAATGAGGGAATTACAATCTCTCAGTTTCTCTGACACACATCAAGCCGTATGTTAACGCTGCCTGTGTCTCTTTGTCAATGGCCTGCATGATAAGAGGTGAAATGGGAGGACCTGCAGAGCTCAGTGGTCAGTGCTGGTCACTCGTCTAACGGCCTTCAGGAGGAGACGCACGAGACTGCTCAGACAGGTTTGACCTCTGACCTCTCTGATCTTGACCCTGTCTGCTCTTTCCACTCTTCCTCTGAATGATTTTGAACTCTGGCTTCAAGCTCTAAATCGCTGGATGAATAAGTGCAATCAATACAGTCAGGTGGAGTAAACGAGGAAGGTGAAAATCAGTCGGCTGGTCAATAGACAATCTGGCACAAGGTTTTCTATACAGACGGTCATGGACTGACACTGCTGTGTATTTATTTGAATTATTAGGTTTTTCCACACCCATCTATTATTGTAATATCAACTATTTTCGATAAACCCACCCGTAATTTATACATTAAAGAAAACACACTGTTTGGTTGCTTTTACATCTAAAACCAAATTAGTTATAAAATAAAAATCATCTATAATTTTAGTCTAGATAAATAAATCACAGTAGTTTAGCTCTATCTTTTCCTTCAAGAAACATCATAAATGCAATTTATTGATTAGTTATTTTTAGTAAAAATATATAAATAATGCATTACCATTCAAACAGTTGAGGTCGTTTTGAAAGAATCTTTTGGTCTTTTATGCAATTAAATAAATAATTTATAAAAGTTTTAATTTATACAATTAAAAATAAACTTTCTATTTTAATATATTTAAAAATTGTAATGTATTTTATTTGAAATATAATTATTTTTGTAACAATGTAAAAGTCTTTACTGTCACTTTTGATCAATTTAATGAATCCTTGCTGAATAAAAGTATCAATTTCTTAAAATAAAAAATAAAAAAAATAAAAAATGAAATGGTAGTGTATGTTCCAAAAAATAAAAAATAAAAAACTTTCTTAAAATGCTGGAGATGTGCATTAAATTAGTGTGCATTTTATGTTTCTTTTGTTCTGAAATTTTTTCTTTTTTTCTTTTTTGAAAGATCATATGAAAGAAATGTACACTGCATCACTGTATTTAATGTATTATTGAGCTAAATGCAAATGAGACGAGCATCGTCGGTGGCAAAGCAGGACAGCGTTTGTCTTGCTCTCAGGATCTCGGTCCAGAATAGCTTTCTGATAAGATGGTTGTGTGTGTGTTGGGGGGTTAACAGGGTCCATATCAGGTCCGGTTAATGAATGTTCCATCAGTGCATCCGTCTGTGTGGAATGGCATCATCTTGAGGGGGATTAATGCATACAAAATGTGCTTGGGTACACAAGATCATGCATGCAGGGTCGTGGCATGATTAATGCTGCGGCGAATCAAAGCACAGCTCAAGAGAACAATGAAGAACTGAGAAAAAAATGAACCGTATCAGCAGACTGTGTTCTCTGTGAAGACACGGATAAAGAATTTGAATATGGAGAGGAGGAGGGTGTCCAATTAGTGCAAAGTGGCCTTAGACTCCAGAGCCATTATAAAAGATTCTAAACCAGCACTGAACAAATGATCTAAACAAGGATTCTGGGCTATAGGGCTAAACTGGATCAGCAGGACACTTTTCACCAGTGGGTGATTCAGAGATGAGTAAAGTGTAGGAAGTTCTCACTACATTCTTAGAAATAAAGGTTCCAAAAAGGTTGTTTTTTTTTGTTTGCAGTGATGCCAGCCATTTTTAATTCCTCAAAGACACTTTCAGTGAGCAGTTCTTAAAAGAACCATTATTTTTCTTAGTTTTAAATACATTTTTAATAATCTAAAGAACCTTTTTCCGCTATACAGAACCTTTTGCAGAGTGGAAAGGTTCCATGAATGTATATGGAGAGGAGGAGGGTGTCCAATTAGTGCAAAGTGGCCTTAGACTCCAGAGCCATTATAAAAGATTCTAAACCAGCACTGAACAAATGATCTAAACAAGGATTCTGGGCTATAGGGCTAAACTGGATCA